TTTTCATTTCAGTGTTCCCTGTCGACATGGATCATGCTTATACTTTGAGCGGGTCTCAAAATGAGCAGACTCGAATAGTGACCATTCTCAAGGATGACAGGGTAACAGCGACAGACGATGTAGTTGAAGAAATTTTAGATGATCAAGATGATGATCAAACTGATGATTTTGATTCTGGCCAAGACCAATATCAGGGAGATGAACAAGGAGATTATCAAGGAGATGACACCCTTGAGGGAGGTGGTGAAGACTGCACTGAGGATGGCATGGACAGCCAAGATAACTGTAATTGGACTGTAGGTATCAACTAAATTCTACAGGTTGTGAGTTGTACTACTTTGCTTCTTTCTTACAGTTTTGTAATTTTCAGGAGACAACATATGAAGTTTTATTGCCAACAGAAGAATGGATGCAGATGTTACCTCCTCAATACTTGCTTCACTACATCCGAGAACGAACTATCTGTCGTGAATCAGGAAGAAGAGTCATGCGTGATTCGACTGCACCTCTTAAGCGTGGATGGCTGCAGGGCTCTTGGAGGGAAACCATTAAGGACGCTATTGCTAAACAGACCTCCATTCCATGTGTAATTAATTTCATTTCAAGTAATTTCCTGAAACAACCATTTTCTCGGAAGGTGTGTAATTGCTACGTATTGTGTTAAGAACCCATGTATTAAGTCTATTTATTCGTGCACAAGGATATTATGCTGAAGCAAATCTTAAAATTTTTCAGGTTGGTCCTCCACTTTGGCGAGTCCGTGCTTGCTGTAGACAAGATGATGGTCAGTGTCTTAAATTCAATTTAAAAGTGCAAGACTTCCATCCTAGCAAGCCTCATGTGAAAATTGAGATATCTGCAGAGGGGACATTGTTAGAGGGACCTGAGGGTGAAGCTCGTCACACATTCACAGCATCCGATCACATGAGAGCCTTGAAAAGTATGCAGCGATACCAGACATCTACCCCTCAGTCAGGTCTGAATGGCAGTAAGTGATTCGTATTCATGTCTCTCCTTCTAAATGTACTTTCAATTAATTAATTAGGAGCGTTAAAAGTGACATACCCTTGTGTACTACAGGTTTGGATAAAACAGTCGATCAAAGTTCAGAAGATGTTGTACAAGATGGAGATGAGGGGGAGGTAATGAATTAAACGTGCAGGGTGGTCGCTGTGCCCCGTCGGAGGAGACGCGTATTGTAGCCCTCATGCACTGGTGCGGGCGCGTGTGTCTCTCGTATGTAGGCCCCGTGCGAATAGGCAACCCGCCTGCACGTCTGCATGCGGACTAGTAAACGCATTTGGTCCGACGGGGCTCAGCGACCACCCTGCTTCGAGTACGCCGCAAGGCTGCTCCGCCGCAGTGAGATGACGACGCATTTCGTCCGCAGGTGGAGCGACTCACGCTGCAGGTGCCCACCAAGGACTGGATCTCGTTCCTGCCGGCCGAGGCTGCGGAGGCCTACGTCTTGGAGCGCTCGGCCATCAGCAAGGACCGGCTGGCCATCGAGTCGCAGGAGTCGTGGTCGCGGGGCTCGCGCCTGTTCGTGCCGCGCGTCACCAAAGAGTGCCGCCAGTACCTGAAGCGGGCCCTGGCGGAGCGGACGGGGCTCCCCTGCCGCATCGGGCTCACGGGCCGCTGCCACCTCAAGCCGCCCTTCTCGCGCAAGAAGCGCGCCCCGCTCTTCGTCACCAACGGCTTCTGCGGCCGCAAGGAGCACAAGTGCCTGCGCTTCAAGTTCACCGTGCAGGACTTTGACCCCCGCGCCCCCTTCGTGGACGTGGACGTGGAGGTTTGGGGCCAGCTGCTCGAGGGCCCGGAGGGGGAGGACTGGCACAGCCGACGGCCCACGGATGACCTGGACTCGGTGGTGATCCGGAGTCCCGAGGCGGCCGTCAAGCGGCCCTCGAGCGGCGGCGGCGGCGACGCCATGAGCAAGAGGGCGCGGCTGACCAAGCGTGGCCGGACTCCCGTCAAGAGGGACACCACCTCCGACGCGTACGCCGAGGCTGTGCAGGCGCTCCAGGCCGAGACGTGGCCCGGTGACTTCGACCTCCAGACGGCCGAGGTCGTGCTGCAGGAACAGGTCAAGGGGAGGCCTCAGCCCGATTTCGTGGCGGCAGACGGCACCGCAATCCAAGTCTTGTCCGAGGGCGGACAAGAGACTGCCCTGGGCGAGGATGCGGCGCGGGAGCTCATGCAGCTGGCCAACGAGGCCTTGCATCTGGCGGGCGGGGGAACTGGGGCCGACGGCGAGCAGAAGACTCGGTTCACCGCCACGAAGATTGTTCAAAGTGGTAAGCACCCTACCCTGAAATCCCCGAGCATTCGAGCCCCGTGATGGCTGCGATTAAATGAGTCCATATTTACCCGTTCTTTCCCTTTCCGCAGGGGACCAGGTGTTTATATTTGTCGGCGATCCAGGCGAGGGCCAAGAAGGCGCACCGACTATCGAGGCCGTGGAAGTCACCGGTGAAGGTTGGTGCTTATTTTCACACCCCCGTGTGATTCACCAGACACAGGTTGGTTCTACAATTCATGCCCCTTTTCCTCGTCTTCTAGAATTGGCGGCCGTGGTGGACCACTCCTCATCCGCCGCTGTCGCCACCTCAGAGGCGGAGAACATCTTGCAGCAGTACGAAATAGCCGAGCAGCAGCAACAGCAGCAGCAGGACGAACAGCAGCTGGACCAGGATCTGCCGTGCATGGAGTATCGCTGGCAGATGAAGCTGCCCATGGCCGACTGGCTCCGCCTGCTACCAGCCAAGAGCCTGCGCTACTACGTGCACGAGCGGACGGTGGGCCGCGAGGTGTGGGTGGAGGAGGGCTGGGAGAAGCAGTTCCGCTGCCAGACGCTGCAGCACGGCTGGCGGGACGTGGTGCGCCGCGCCGTGGTCGAGCAGACCGACATCCCCTGCCAGATGTGCTTCCGCGGCCGCAGCTCCCTCAAGCTGCCCTTCTCGCGCAAGCACTCGGCCGCGCTCTGGCGCACGCAAGGCTACTGCTCCAAGGGCGACCGCAACTGCCTCGTGTACAAGTTCTGCGTGCAGGACTTCCACCCGGACGACGAGGACGTCACCGTGCAGGTGCGTGTCGAGTCGGCAACCCGTACGCCGTTTGCAGCCTGGTGGACGCTGTGCCCCGTCGGTGCGATCGCGTGTCCTCTTAACCCGCACCCGGGCGTGCAGACGGGTTGCCTATTCGCAAGGGGCCGTAAGGCTACAGACGATAGGCAAACCCTTTCGCATCCGTGCATGTAGGCTAGTATGCGCATTTGCTCTGACGGGGCTCAGCGACCACCCCGCATGTTAAATTTAATCTTCTGATAAGAAGCTGACTGAATTTTAACAGAAGTTTATGAAATTCTATGAGCTTTAGCGTTGCACTTCAGTGTACACTGTTTGTGTTTCTGATCCGACCTGTCGCATCCCAAAAGGTGTACGCCGTGGGCAAGCTGCACAAGGACTGCCGGCGGTGGTTCACCGGCGTGGGCACGGTGGTGGCCGAGCGGACCGACTGGCCGGACTACGAGGCCGAGGTGGAGGCTGACGCTGAGACGGACGGGGCGGAAGGCGTGCAAGGTGCCCAGCACCTGCTGCAGGTCAAGTGTGAGCCCGAGCCCGCCGGGGAAGAGTGGGAGCCTGACCAACCTGCGTCGGACCAGGAAGAACAGGAGCACGAGCAGCACCAGGACGCGGAACAACCCCAGAAGGTCGAGCAGGAGCAAGAGCAAGACGTTCAGAACACCGTGGGCGAGGAGTTTTACAACGCCGTCCTGAAGAGCATCGACGTGGTAAGTGTGGTAGCCGTTCCCCAAGACGTGGATTTGCCCCTTGAATACTTTGTTTCTAACCCTCCCGTCCCTTGTGCAGATGAAGCTCCACCTGAGCAAGGCCCGGCACTGCCCGCTCAAGATGCAGGCCGCTCTGCGGCTGATCCGCAACGCGCAGGTGACCTGCTCAGCGCCCTGCAAGACCCCGGACTGCTTGTGCCGGCCCAGCGCGCAGCCCGCGGCCAAACTGTCGGGCAAGCCGCGCCTCCGATGGCCGTCTCGACGCACCCAAGTCGAGGCCGAGGCCGAAGCAGAGGCCGAAGCGGAAGCCGTGGCTGAAGCGGAGGCTGAGTCGGAGCACTACGCAGAAGCGGAGCCTGATCTGGAAAGTGAACTGGATGCTGGTCAGGAACCGGAGACTGTTCCCGTAGCCGCCACACCGCGGCCGCCGCCGGGCTCGCACGTGACGCCTGCCAGGACGAAGACGGCCGTGACGTCCTCAACCACGCCGTCCACGCCGGACGGCAAGGCGGGCTGGCGGACGAAGGTGACGCGGTCGGGTCCGCTGGTTCTGACGGCCATGACCCCATCCTCGGTTGGGCCCACCATCATCAAGCTGTCCCCCGCGCAGATAGCGGCCGGCGCCCGCGCCCCGCCCGTCAAGGCTCCCGTGGCGGCTTCGTCCTCCTCCAAGTTCGCCAAGCTCTCCTCGGCCATCGAGCGGTCCGCCCTGCTCACGCCGGCCGTCGTCAGGCCCTTGGTGCCCGCCGTGGACACGACGCCGTCCCGGAAGCCCTCCGTCCCCGCGGCCACTCCGCTCCCCGCGGCCTCGGCCAGAGGGGGCAAGAAACTGGTGTCGTTGCGCTTGGCGTCGCCCTCGCAGGAGCGCCAGGCCCAGGTGGAGACGCCGGCCGAGGCCGGCAGCGACAGCGACCCGTCGTGGATCATGGAAGAGATGAGACGCGTCATCCTGGACGGCGAAGAAGCCGAGGCCCAGGCCAAAGCCCAGCCCAAAGCACCATCTAAATCGCAGCCGAACGCGCAAAATAATGCGCAATCCAGGGTGCAACCTCAAGTTCAGCCCAAGGGGCAACCTCAGGTACAGCCCAAGGCGCAACCCCAGGTGCAACCCAAGGCGCAACCTCAGGTGCAAACCAAGGTGCAACCTCAAGTGCAACCTAAGGTGCAACTCAAGGTGCAACCTCAGGTGCAAACACAGGTGCAGCCCAAGGTGCAACTCAAGGTGCAGCCCCAGGTGCAGCCCCAGGTGCAGCCCCAGGTGCAGCCTAAGGTGCAACCCAAGGTGCAGCCCAAGGTGCAACCTCAGGTGCAGCCCAAAGCACAGCCCAAGGTGCAGCCCCAGCCACAACCTAGCAAGCCACTTCTTAAGGAAGCACCGAAGGGTCAGGCCCAGGAAGACGACCGGCCGGCGGCGGAGGTCACAGAGAGTCCAGACGTGGTCAGGACTACGCGCTTGAGGGTGATGGTGGAGAAGGTCGTCGATGCCTCGCTGCCCGTGGTGAGCTCCGTGCGCTCCCTGGCAAAGCCCGCCCCCGTCGTCACGCCCCCGTCGAGGCCTGTCACCCGCGGCACCAAAGTCCTCCTCGGCGCGACTGCCAACAACCCGCCGCCTCTCGTTCCGATCAGCAAAGGACGTAAGTTGAACGTTATTTCGAACATCGCATAATCTCCAATCCACGCCTTTGTATGTACACTGTACACTATCTCAATCTAAATTATCTCTGTCTATTCCTTTAGCACCAACAAACAAATCGCAATCAGCACCACTTCAGACAACAAGTAGAGGGTCGCAGGTCGTGGTCATTAACCCTGAAGGGAAGGAGCAAGCACCCTCACCCAATAAACCAGCTAAGGTCCCAACTAGGACAGGTAATTAGAAAGATTCACCTGTCTAGTCGATTCTCAAACTGACTCCTCAGTTTGGTCTGTTTATATGTTATCTCCTGGTCAATTTTCTGTTTCACAGTTCAAACTCGCCTCACATCTGTCGCATCTGACAAGGGATCCCTTCCCCAAGGTGGTAAAGTGTTGATTCTGAAGCCCTCTATGCCTTTACTTCGGTCAAGCCCACGCAAGCCGTCCTGAGCACACACATATTTGAGTACCGTCGTGTTTCAGTACTTTGTACAAGTTACCAAAAATATTGTCCTAGCCATTGCACATGAACGCAAGATCACTACCTCAGCACTAGGTAGAGAACCTTCGCGACCGAGTGACAATAACATTTATCAATGGAATTTTAAGTTAGACTATCGAGGTATCTAATTTTTAAATGTTTGATTGACAATGCATGGTATGAATTGTTCTTTGGATCTACCTGTTTTTGGTAAGTCTGGAGATATCTGATCTCAGTGTACAAAAATTATTTGTAGAATTGTAAATTGTGTATATACTGTAGCTATAATGTTCTTATATATCTGCCAAAATGTGTATTATAGTACAAAGCGATTTTCGATGTTCAATAAATGAACAATAATAAGCATACATTATGTCACAGTCATTTATTATTACTATTTTTTTTTATTCTAACAGGCCCTAACTTACCTCTTTGGCATATCACATTTATTCAGTATCACAGTTTATCTTAGAATATGTTCAATAATTCTGCACATCACAACTCCTCCTTGCTGCTGGTGGACGGTTTTGCATCTGTACAGCTCCCCTGGTCTTGCTCGCATTGCCCTCGAGGAGGCAGCCTGCTCCTCTGCTTGAGGCTCTGCAACATTTAAAAAAAAAAAAAAAAAAAAA